CCGCCCCCGCCTCCCCCACCTCCATCTGCCATGCATCTCCACTCCGGCTCCTACGCACTACCCTGGCACACGACTGACAGCAGGTGAGGCAACAGTAAACTGGTCCGTCTCTGGCTGTGTGGCATATTATTYTTGGTTTATTTCTGTCCAACACTTSCCAACCAAGGAATGCCAAAGCATTCCTTCTCAACGCTGAGGGTGTTAGACAAGCATCAAACYCTCACATGTTTGTCACTGTGCRTAAAGGATGAAAGTTAGGTAAAGATTTTCTAGTCCAGTTMARGTTAAATGTCGTAGGTTATCAGTGTGAAGGTTAACATGTCAAGAACTCTGCGCCCTTTCTGTGAACCAGTCCCATAAAGSTTTTATTATTTCTGAAAAGGTTTACTATGTAATCACTCATGCATGTCTGCTTTTGTTTGTCTGTCTGTTAATGAAATATATCATGAACCATAGGAGGGATTTTAATGAAACTCAAAAAGTGATCACTGAGTTCACATCTATAGCTGATTAGAAACCATCCCAACYACAGCTAATCARCCTTCAACACAAAAATGACTATAAATCAGGTGATTATACAAATATTAAACTAAAATGTTATTTGGTAGTGGCTGAGCATCTTTCCCAACTCATCCTCTCTAAGACATCACCCAAATTCCTTCCCTAAAACCTTTGGCATACAAGGAATGCTACTTTTATTTGTTTTCGTCTTTATTCTTGGAAAGTACAAGGTTCACAAACACAACCTGTGGTGTTACAATGACTTAATTGAATTATTGCCTAATTAAATTATATTTGTAATTTCATGTGGTTTGTCATCAATAAATTTTTAATGTTAATTAAATATTTATTTAACTATTTTGTTTCTCAATAGTAATATAAGAAACATCTTAGGGACCTCAGAAATTTATTTTATTTTACAAAGTGTTTTATTTTATTTTAGTGGTTTAAAGTGATAATATATTAATTTACAAAGTGAGTCAACAGTCTCAGGATTCCCTTTTATTTCAGAGACAAAAGCAAAAATGACATATCTAAATAACGCCAGAGATTAATGGGTGAAGGAACTTGTCTTTTAGGCTTTGAGTGTGTCCAAATTTAGGGGCTGTGTCCTTTGAAGGCTGAGTTTGAAAGACAATTACGWCACAGCATTGTGCTGAAGGCTGTCCAAATTCAAACACTCCTTTACTCCTTTTTCCCAAATTGAGGGACAGGTCCGGTGTATTCTACACAGCCACCCTATCCCAAGATGCTTTGTGGGCCAACCAGGAGATTTTTTTTGCTCGTAATGGCGGACAAAGCGTGTGACTGGAGTACAGTTCTAAATAAAAATCTGGCTTTACAAAAATTGAAAGTTTAAAACAGTTGTATTGTTGACTTTTGTCATTTTTATAGACATATTTTTAAATGAGTTTTGTCAGAAATCATTGTAAACGAGCTTGTATGGCAGGTCCCTTAGTTCTTTATACTGTATATTGCCTCTAAGCTAATTTTATTAATTTATTTAYTAATTCTGGGACAATTCTGGTCTTCTCTGATATGCTAAATGACCTCAACAATGGAAATATTTGACTTTCATTSAAGATGGCAGCCATGTTTTGGACATAGACTAAAAGATAAGTCCCCTCATCCATTACTAGCTGAAGTAATCAGATATTGCATTTTCCCTTTTGTTTCTGAAATAAAAGGGWGTCCTGAATCTTTTGAATCCCCCTGTGTATTGACTTACGTCACTCATCACTTGTGAACAAGATACCAGGACACTTAACCACTGGATTGGGATATTATCTGTTGAATGGAATTGTAAGGTCTGGTTTGTTGTGGTGAAAAAAGAGCTGAGCTGGAGAGTGAAGCTCTTGATTTACTGATCTATGTTCTGACTCTTATCTATGGTTTGAAGTGTGATAGAAAGAACAAGCCAGCCTCAGTCTTTGATAAAAGACTGAAAGCTCTGCTWTCCAGGTAGAATTGCTGCTCCTCTCCATTGAATGATGTCCTCTTAAGTGGTTTGGGCATCTTGTTGGAAATTCTCCTGGATGTCTTCCTCTAGAAATTTTATGGTCATGTTTCATTGAATGAAGACTCCATGAGAGAACAGATATCGCAGGAGGACGTAAGCAATCCTCTCTGGCCTGGGAACACTTTGGAATCCCCSAGGATGAGCTGAGAGTGTCAGTGTGTAGAGAGATGTCTGGGTTACTCTCCTGGATCAGTTGCCTCCTTGACCTGGCCTTGGATAAGTGTTGGAAAATGGTAGATGTTTTCTAACACATTAGTTTGTTGACTAGTTTTGAGCACATTGCTTAGGTGTGTGCTTAGGCAATGAGTTTTTTTTAACAATGAGTGTGTCATCCTGTTGGTTTAAGTAACACTTCTGTTATCCGGTGACTTCATGGGACCTTAGGCTGTAAGTCATTGTTGGGGATTTTTGTCTTCGCTGTGACTGGCTGTGGCCTGAAAAAACAACAATCGCCAGGAAACAAGTGACATCACTGTGTTTTAATGTCAACACGGCCCACTCAGGAAGCATTGATTTATTCTGGGCTCCTATTTAAACATACCCAAGAGATAACCAATCAGATTCCTCAGATGATGAGTAATGGGGAGGAGGTAAACTGTTTTGGGAAGTAAAATGACAACACGGGTGACTAAAAACTGCTATTTATCATGCTACAATCAAATTCAGAGTTGCAGCTATAGGCTAGATTTATTTGTTGTATTTTGAATTTTTGTARATGATCACAGAACAGAGACATTTTATCTGCAGTGCTATGGTTTAGTAATGGAACCAGTTTGGTGGGGGAAAAAACCTTCCCATATCAGCTTATTTTATTCTTAGACATCACATCACATACTACTCAACTTATGACTCCAACTACCTAAAACTGATTTATTAGTGCTTTTGCTAAATATGAAAGCTGATAACCACTGTTCTTACTATAAATAATTGTGAATATAATTTCTCAATATTACAAGTTAGGCTAGTTCTCTGTTAGCTCATGTTAGCTCTTATGTGTGGTTCTTATGTAACACCCACATTCCATCAAAATGAGAACGGCATTTTTTTAATGCACAAAGGTTTTTATTGTTTCAGAAGAGCTTATAAACAATTTTTTCGAAAATGATTTCCTGACTGAGAAAATCCTTGAACAGATTCCCATGCAGACAGCCTAAACACAAGCTTTTGAAGTAATTATGTCATAGATCTACCTCCCACCTAACCTACGGCTCCAATAATGACAGACTATATGCTTATGTTTGAGTTGTAAATGCCAATTGCTCCACTACATCAAAAGTCCCAGCGTTTTCCKTACCAACGGAACCGCACACCTGCCTATGAATTCTCTCCTCTCAATTAAAGTTCCGTGACTTGAGTGCAGAGATTGTAGCAACAGGATAAGTGGCTTCAAATTAGCATTTTCAACGTAGTGCTCTGTCCGACAACTGCCCACTACACTGTATAATCTCACCGAGCAGGCAAGGCTGATGAACAATAAAATTGTCTTGAATAGAGYTTTCCCACATTGCCATATTTGGYATTTCTGGCCCACACAAGGCATTAATGGCCGTTTTGCACTGTAAGACCTGGCCTGGTCCGGCCCGTCCTGGGTTCAAACCCAGGTTCAACGTGTTTGCATTAGCCCTTATGGCCCWATTCCTGGAACCACGAGTCCTGTGGGCTAGATTTGACTTCAGTTATACTGTTGCCAATTAATTGGTTCACTGGCCATGGGGGTCACGTTAATTAGATGATATTAACTTGAGTCATTTTCAACGACTAACAATTTTTTCACACAACTTCAACTAAACAACAACTGTAGCAATCTACCAAGCAACAACAAGCTAACATTAGCTACCATTAGCTTAGTGTCCTCTGTTGTCTTGCCTTCTCATCTTCAGTGTCATACTATTGGATGGTCTGATTCAGTCTTTGCTACTTTTCTTTAAAGTTTGTTTTAGTCCATTGTTGTGTCGCAAATAAAACAAAATAAGATTTGCTCTTAATATGATGATCCCTGAGGGCCAGGGTAAAATAAAGCCAAGCTGGATGTTTGAGCGTCTAAATGGTTTCATTTGGAAGTTCACCATCAGATACAATAACAGAGTATATTTTGGTCATTGTAACCTCACMGAGACAAAGGCTTGAATCGGCAAGTCGAGTTGAAGCCCTTCAATGAGCCTTTGTATTCCTGTATGAGCTCACCAAGGTAATCTGTAATCTGTTAGAGAAAGAGGAAGTGTCTGCTGTTCTTATATTGACTCATAATAAAATGAGAGTCTCTGTCCTTGTTTTTCTTTTGCTTTATATGTAAGAGGTTTGTACAGTTCTCCTGATAAGAATTAGTGATATAATGCACCACTTTTAGATTTAATAGTCCCACGAGGATTAGATAGCTGTAAGTGTGTGTGCTGGTCATTTATTCCCACAGCTTTCCCTGCCTGACCTTGTTGTACATACACACACACACACACACACACATTTACACACACTCAGGATCGGATGAGGAGGTAGCTCCTGGCATAACTCTGGACAATAGCATGTGACTCCCAGAACATGTGGACAAAGAGAGGAAGACATTCAGTAAACTGTGTTTGTGTGAAGAAGGGGGACATTCTGTACAGTCTGAATGTGTTTGTGTTGATTTTTACATTATGCTAATGCGTTATTGTCTGACAGTTCACACGATATGAGAGTTAGAGGAAGGAAGTTGGTGTGTTCACAACACCGGAGCTGCTTATAAAAGAGGAGTGCTTTAAATGACTTAATAATCCAACAATCTGAAAGGTTTTATGGTGTATTTGTGCTGGATTTGTGTTGGTGTGTCATCGTCAGTCCACACATGTTGTCGGTGGCTCCTGTTTTATTTCCTACTTTACTGTCTCTGTCAGCCAGGTCAAACCTATAGCCTCCCCTTACTCATTCATCGCCCACTTCCTTTAAAAAGAATGTTCCCAGGCAGATAATGAAGCTCTCGTTTCTTCCAGCTATTACCACATCAAATTTGAGCTCAATGGCTGCAAAATTAATCGCGTTTTAGATATTTTTTGTTATCTATGTCTATCTATGTCAGTCAGCTGTGATGACCAGCTTGAATTTGATTGAATTTAAAACACATTCAGTTGTACATGTACATCTAATGACTGCTTCCTAAAAGTTTAATTAAAAACTGTCATTTGGTTAATATTAGGGATGCATGAAAACTTTTTTTAAAAAACGATAACCGATAACGTTCTACTTCTAAACGTTGATAATCAATAATAATAGATAACGTAAGACTAGTGACCAAAAGTGTAAGATCAAAAAATCATAAAGCATTGACTCTTTAAATGAAAACATTAATTTTTGAAATTAAAGATTATTATAATTTACATTTAGTTAAAGTGCACCCCTAGGTGATATGATATTTTGCTAATATGACTGACAAACAAGCACATAAAAACACATTATCGCCCTTTGGCAGCAGTATAAAGATAGTTAAACGTCTTTATTGATGCTGAGGTGGGCTATTTGAATGAGATTCATGTTTGTAACCTCTGATTAAAGTGGAAATACGTGACTGTTTAAGTTCTGTAAACCACAAAACACTAAACTACATGAGCACTCCATTCTGAATATTTTACATGTGGAACAAAACGGATGGCTCTTAGAGTTTTTAAAAGCATGAACCATAAATACCACAGAAATAGCCTGGAGGTAGTCCGCTGGTTACTGCTCTGTGTTTGTTTGAGTTCAGAGCTTGTTGTGAAGACGTTTGTCTCCAGTTTCTGTCCAACTTCTTTCTGGAAATTTTCCCCATTGTTTGAAAAAGACACCAAAGGAATACCAAGGATGAATGGCCACTCTTTCCTCTTAATTGAGGAAAAAAAGATATAACCACAATAAAATGTCTGCACATTGTGTGTGGGGGACTTTACAGGTTGGATTTGAACCAAACACAAGAACACTATGTCTCCATCCCCCCCC